AGAAAGTAAAGCTGTTATTAAAGCAAGCCGAAGCAACGAAGTGTGGAAATCGTTTTGCCATTGAAAGAAAGATCTTCCGTGCTCTAGAAAGTCCCTTGAGATAAGAGCTTCGTTTTTCAAGGCCACGAACGGAAGCCCTGCAACTCTACCAAGTCATGTCAATTTAAAAGACACTCGAAATTGGCAAGAGTATGTTGAATTCATTATGAAGCTTCAAAATTCATAAATTTATGAATAGGAGCAAATCAAAAGCCAAATTTTTTCCTGATTAATGGCTCAAATGAAACTACATGATTCAAGGAGAATCAACTGTAAAGTATAGCTTCAAGAAATTCATGAAACATTACCAGTTGCTCTCAAAATCACCAAGAGCACCCAGTAAGTCCTCCAAAAGCCAGTCCACTCCCAGGTTGAATAAAGTAAAGAACTTTCATATCACCTCGTTCTTGCGCCAAAATTCAATTCAATTTGAAGAGGGAGAGGGAGTCTGGGAAGAGAGTAAATTTTAAATATCTTCAGAAATTGTCGACCACACGACTCACAAAAGCCAACTCAGAATGAGAAAAATGTCAAGAAAAAGTCTCAAATCTCACTGAGGCACAGGAACCATTTTCCCAGGAGCCAGATTTTTCCTGTCCACGCCAGGACAAGATGACACAGGGCGAAAGAAAATGAAGAGCCAAAATTCACACGCGGGCCATCCCCCAAAGCGACATTACAACATATTTTCTTTCATATTGAATTTGAGATTCACAAAATTTGCTCCATCTTCCCCTCAGGACATGGCCTTGCTTTTCCTTATTTCTCTGGAAGGCCTAAAGGGAAGCCGTAGTTGCAGAAGCAGGAAAAGTAAAAGAAAGATTCTTGTATAGATGGGAAGCCTTTATTCCTCTGTATGATATGATATCATAATATGAGGATATCTTTTAACATGGGGCATGTGGAGTCGAGCAGATTTGGTTAAAGGGGCTAGTTTTGTACTTGGCCTCATAACTTAAGAGAGGAAATGGCAATGGCTAAAGGTGGCTTTGGCTTAGTGTCTGTGTCCGTCTCAGACTGTTACGCGGACTTTCGCTTTCTGGGACCGGTGGGCTTAGCTTTCTCTCACTTCACTTTGTAGGAGTGGCCCCCTCGATTTATAATCGTTGGTTTTGGCGCCTTCCTTTATCTTCTTCAACCCACCAACTGTAAATTGATTTCATTAATGCGTCGAATTTTCATGATATAAATCAATGATCCATTGAATTCGAAGCTATCTCTCGTAACGTTTATATCCACCTCACGTTTTTTTCTCTCACATGCCAAGAGTGAGAAATTACATCAGCTATCAGAGTAACAAACAAGCTCCAAGTAGAATCCTAACATTATAGTATGGTGACTATTCTAAACACACAGCTATACGATATATATTAACTCATTTCTGAGCTTTCTAATTACTGGAGCCTCTTTAAGATTAATGATAGTCAGGAAAAATCATCAATAATGCAGACACATGGTCAATTTCGAGTTTTTAAAGTGAGAGAGTTTTTGTTTCATCAAGTTGAACTAACTTACCTGAATTAATAATAACAAACTTTCAAGTGTGGAGTATTGAATGGTCGATATGGTCTTGTTAGTTTTTTCAGAAAACTAAGTGGTATTGAAAAAACAATAAATGGCAATATATGAAGGAAAATATGATTTATATATATACATATGCCCACACGAGTCTAGTGGCATATCATATTGGTTTCCTGAACTTACTATATATATCGATCCATCCCTCATCCTGTGCGCTATCTGAAACGATTATTGGCTTCTTTACTGCTTATAGTTGTAGGTTAAAGTGCAAATTTGTGTTTTACCTGACAAAGATAAATTAAGCACGATTCACGCACTTCTATTATATTTGTCTTCTTTGCTCGGTTTGATTAATTAATTTCATCCAGCAGGACAGCAGTCTGGCATTTATATATTAAAATGCAAGAGGTTGTACTTGTGGTCTATATGTGTTGTTGATATTAATTAACAAAGACGAACCTGCAATATACGGCCAAACCAAACCTACGGAGAAGCAAAATTCTTAAGATTTACAAGAAATGCCTTGCCAAATTGCTTATTATATAATGGCGTAATATAATTATAAATAAATCAGTACTATTTTTGACAACTGCAATAATGCCGTGCTTGCATGGGAATGGTTTTTTTTCTTCCTATGTCTATAAATCGAATCATTAAATTTTGTGACTTTGTCTGCTCATTTTATTTACAAAGCACCCATTAATTTCTTGCATCACGTATCCTTCTGTCATCCACTTCATATTTGAAACACAGAGATTAATTATTCCGTGATGGTACATGAAACTGGTGGTAGTGGAGTTTGCGTTGGACGTATGTCAGGCTAACAGCTAAGATCAATGTATATAAAACATATAATAATTAACCAAGACTTGCTGAAGTCAATCTTAAATCATTCTCCCACAATAATTCATGGAAGTCTTTCTTCTTGTTTTTTCCTATGTCGTACATGAGGTTGATAAGACTAATATATTTTGTGGGATATTAGAAGGTGTTGTCATATAAATAATATAATGGAATAATCATGCATATGTTGTTGTCGGTGGTGAAATTGAAAGGTAACGTGGAAACGGCAACAGAAGGAATTGGCAGCTACCGAGGAGATAGGGTTTCAACAGCAAAAGCAGTCTAGGTGAGGCGTAGTGAAGTGTGGTTGCGAGGCAAGGGCGTCAGGATGGCCCACCAACTGAAGCGACGGAATCAAGCAACGAAGCAACAAGTTAACCCACGCACCATCCAATTAACGTCAGCGTCATTGGCATAATTAATTACTTTACACACATTGCGCATTACATGCACGAATGAATACGTGAAAGTTAAGCCCACTTGCTTCAACCTGCTTTCAACTTTTTTCTCTCTTTTTTTATGCTTTCGAAAAGTTGATTTATTTATATTTTTTTTAAACAATAACTTGTTTACTTTGGAGTTTCATATTTTTTTCGTCGATATACTGTCGTTTTTCTTGGAGAAGAACTGGAGCTTCAAAAACTAGAGTTTGGTTTTCTATATGATCATGATTCATGAATTAACAGAAATTTTCGGATGTTGACGTTGTTCATGGACATCCAGTGTTGGCTTTTCATCTTCCATGACTAGATGAATCAGGAATCTTTATTATTACTTCCTGTGTTTAATATGACATCTAATTTGTATATATCGTGTCTGTGTTTTTCTTTTTGTTTTCGGCAAGCCATGTCCAAAGGTTGGCTGGGTTCATATGGCGTTTGTTTACCTCGATGAGTTGGTAAGCCGTTACAAAGGTCCATAGATGTATTACAATGAAATCATGGGCCACTGTATCAAAAAAATCATGGGCTAAGCCCAATATCTCGCCCCCTTGTTCCAGGCCCAGGTCAACCTCTCCTTTACACCTGCGGTTTCCGAGAGAGAGATCTGACGAAAAAAAAAAAAACAGAAGCGATAAAGATATTAGAGTGGATGAGATTTTTTTTTATTTATATCTATTTTTTAAATATCCTCAACACTTTTTTTTTTTTTTTCCAGCACGTGTTTGGTAACCTGCTAAATCTTCATTTTAAAATTAAGAGATAAGCAGATGCATGAATGTGATATGAACTGATAATTAATAGCGCAGTCATTAGATACTATTAGACATGATAAGATGCATGACGCATGCGACATGGACCGTACAAAATAATTGCACTTTACGTAGAAGATTCTTTTCGACCCTAACCAATTCATCGTACGTTTATGTTGCGCCACTACCTATAATTCCTACCACAGATGATCCTCTAATTACAGCAACGTCTTCTTATTTCTTCGGAAATATGCGAGTTTAAAATTTTCGACTGAAATGTTTGCCGAATCACTTGTGAGGTGGTAAATCATATATATATACACACACATAATATTTAGGTGAAGGATTATTGTAATTTACGTGACCACTAACGCATTCAATGTATTGATGTATACTTATTTTCCACGTTCAAGAGGATTCGCATTTCAAATATATTTGATGCCTTTTGAACTGATAACAAAATAAGAGGCGATAAAATGGAATCTAAATTTATTCGGGAGAGATCTAGAGAAAGTTAGTTTGACCTCTTCCTTCGTTGTATTATTATTATTCTTCGCGGATGACTTTTCTAAAACCAGCAAAGCAAATCCACCTGGTTTTCTAGTTGTTTGTCATTGTTAAACGAGCAGTTCCTTTAATGATGATAATAATGAGAAGACCGACGACGACGACGACGACATAAGCGAAACTTCAGTTCTTTACCCAAAGTTTAACCGAAACCATTGGCAGATACGTAACCATTGCTTTTCTTAAAGAATCAGTCTCATGAAAGTTATATACCCGGCAGCCATAGAATGAACAAATTAGAGCTTTACAGTCCACACGGGAAAAAAGAAAACTAGGGCACGGAGAAGAAAAACCAGCAAATACTCATACATATAGATTCTCGAACATGAACAACTCTTAAAAAGGCGCAGGGCGCCTTGTTGGTATCCAGTAAGAACAGCTAACAAGTGTGGGTGTGTTATAGAAACGTGTCGAAGAATTAACTAAAGATCAGTGTCAATAACTGGAGGTCCCCCATACTCGATGCACTGTATTTGCGAGTTCTTTGGCATCTCAATTTCTTCCAACCATCCATACCCATCTTTTTCATCTTCCCCAACTTCGCTCTCTCCATCTGCAACATTAACACCAATGAAACACAGGTCACCAACTGAAGAATGTACAAGACTTTCTCAATGACTGTCCATAACTAGAGTGAGATTACTTACTGGAAAACGCCGTATAAGGGTGATCCTTGTAGTAAGAGCAATCGCGGCCATCTTCTTGAGAATAAGGAGGGCCAAGAACGTCAAGAACAACTGATGGAGTAATGGCCGTGAACTCATGAATGTTACCCCCAGTTGTGGGATACAAAACTGAAGTATCACATGGGGCAGTAAACACCCTATTCGCTTTTAGCCTCGCCAATCTCACTGCAAAATAAGAATGACAAAATTCAAAAATTCCATTATATAGACATTCCATTTACAACAAAGTTTCAAAGAGATTGCAAAGATGTATATATATTGAAAAGAACTGATACCCACGTTGAGATGGTTGCGAGGGATTCTTGGGGGCCTCAGGATCAACCCAATCGTAAGACTTGATGTGCATTTTTCCCACCAGAAGCTTACTGAAAACGGTCATGCCCGGATGGTTGTGGAGGGGTATGACTCCGTTTGCAGGTAGGAAGAAGATGCAGAGCTGCATGTACAAGGAAAAGTTAACCCGTATGTTTTTAAAACAACTTTATTGAGCAATGTTGATTAGAATAGAACTTACCGAGAAATTCTTACACTCGTAAATCGTTGTGCTGATGACTCTTGCATTCTCAAAGATCATATTTTCAGGGTTGAAGAACCGCAGATCCA